CAACACAGAACGAGATCTGGTGGTCTGTTTACAGAGGTCAGCAGTAATATGGGATGAGAGGACATTTATGGTTTTTTTTCCCCTCAACCTATTTTCTGTAGTTACAAAGACTCCTGTAATACATTAGTCTTCTGCTTCTCTTTACTTTCGTATTTACCATGGCTCAAGATTATGTACTCGATAAGGAGACCTGTAGCACTTTTTATCACTCCATACTCTCTTCAGTAAGCATGCGTATGTTTTTGCACTGCTCTTGCTACTTACAGGCTAAAACTTCAAACGATTTACTATTCAGAAGTGAGAACCATACTGGGAGTGGGAAGCAGGGGAGAGTTACGAGCACAGAAATAGCAAATAGCTCATTCACAAAAGCAGATCTGACTTTACAACCAAACCCTTTAGACCCACTGATTAAGCTACTATTTAGCATACACACAGATCTTTATACAGAGGATCATCAAAAATAAACTTTATTATCAAACTCAAAATTCACACATTAAACATAAGATCTAGACACAAATAATACTGAAATAGTTCTGAAACAGTAACCATTTTAGATAATTCAGATGAGTAGCCAGTTACCATTGTTTCAGATGTCTTTAAGAATATTTAATACATACACCGTTGTGAAACATCTTCAAATGCTTAGCTGGCCAGCTTTCAATAAGACTTAAATAGGGGAAAACTTATTTCTATAGAAATAACATTATCTAATTATGAATCAGAGACCCATAATTGTAGTGCTTGGGGAAAAAAATATCATAGCCTTTTGAAATATTTGAAGTCATAAATAGCTATTGTACATTTACAAATTTAAATAGTTACTATAAAAAGTTACTTTGTACACATTAGATGCTATGGAGAAATCCAGCCAGAGGCAAGTGTTGAGCTCTCAGATTTGGCCACTGAAACCTATGAATTTGGTAGGCAGGTTGTCAACAGGGTACACTATGGGGCCAGTTTTCATTGTAGGAGGTCCATTCAGCAGCTGCCAGTCACAGCTCCGTGCCAACTCCACTGTAAATATTTTCAGAAGGACTTTTGCAAACTCTTTGCCCACGCAGCTCCTCAAGCCGCCACCAAAAGGAATGAAACTGAACCTAGAGGAATCCTCTGGAGATGGAGACATGAAGCGATCCGGGTTAAATTCCTCCTTGTTGGTAAAGAGATCTGCCACATCATGGGTATCGCAGATACTGTAAATAACATTCCAACCTTTAGGGATCTGGTAACCCTATCAAAAGAAGGGAAAGGAGACATGAAGTGCATACTGTGTTAGGTAAGGTGAAGTGCCAGTACAGGACACGTTGGTGCACCCTACCTCTCCTCCTAGCTTCCTGCAGGTCATCCAAAGTTGGATGGGCTACATGTAATGCACTAGTACTTCACTCTGAGGAGTTAAGCCCAAACCCCACTTACATTTAGCTCAAGGGTCTTGAGTGCAATTCGAAATCCTCCAGGAACAGGTGGGCTCAGCCGGAGGGTCTCTTTGATGACACAGCCTGTGTACTTCAGCTGCTCCAAGACCTCCATATCCAGCTGCTTCTCTTGGTTGGGACTGCACAGTAACCCCTAGAAAGGAAGATGCTGCCATGACATTTATGGAGCAGGCAGGTAGGGCTCCTGGCACCCCTCAGAAAATGGTATTTACCTGTCTCCCCCCAAAAGCAGGGCACCAGCTGGGTCAGAAGGAGCCCAGTCTGGGACACCTTTCCTGGAGGTACCTTCCCACTGCCCCCCTCCTGCGAAATGGCTCTGAGAGAGGCACACACCTTCACCTGCAGCTCTTTCCTCACTTTCTGCAGGACATCGTGGTGGAGCCCCAGGAAGGCAATCAGTGACGTAGCAGCACTAGCAGTGGTTTCATGGCCCCCAAACAGCAGCTCTGTAGCAGACTCCTTCAGCTCCTGACACAGAGGAGGAGTAAAACAGGGCTTGAACATAGTATATCTACCAGGCCCATTCTACCACTTGTACAACACTGTGAATCATTCCCAGACTGAAGCAGACACCCAGGGGTCAGGATGGGGGTGATGCTTATGCTCCCTGTGGATATGGCTCCTTATCCAGCAATTTGGTTGCAGCCTCTGCACACCAGTGCACTACGCAAGCTAGGAAAGGGAGCACCTCCTGCCCTCTCGTTTTGGCCCCAAAAGGTAAGTGTAATGCTGACAGAAGGGCTGGAGGAAAGGAACAGACCTGGCCCCGCAGAACCTCACCTGCATGTTGAGCTGCCCCCCATTGCCTTGTGTGTGCTCCATAAGCAGCTGCAGCGCATCCTTGTAGCCACTCTCAGGCTCCTTGCGGGCCATCTTGGCACGGATATTCTCCTCTATCTTGGCATGGATGATGTTGCGTGCCCGCAAGCCCTGGCCAAGCAGCAGGGAGAGCAACATGGGACTTGAGCTGTCCTGCCATCCCTCCCGGCCATTCTCAGCTGCCCTGGTTGCAGTTTCACCACTCTTCTCCCCACCCCCCAAGCCTTACCCGGTAGAGCCCGCTGAAAGGCACATCTATGGGGAGGGAAAAGAGGTTGCGGATCATCTCCTCAAAGGCAGCCACAAGCTGCTGCTCGCCGTCAGGGCTGGCCTGAGAGGGCTGGAAGCCCAGCAGGATCCTCATAGCGATGCGAAACATGAGGCGCTTCACCTCGGGGTACACTAGCAGGCAGGGCCCGGTGGCACCCAGCCACCGCGCCAGGCAGGCACTCACCTCCTCCTGGATGACGGGCACGTAGTGCTGCAGGGCTTCCCGGGAGAAGGCCTGCATGATTACCTGCCCGGCGGGACGAGGAGGAGAAGAAGGGGACACAGGCTCAGCCGCTGCACCCGGGGTGGCTGCACCCGCTCCCCGCCCGCCGTCGGGGCCGTACCTTTTTGCGGTGCTTGTGCTGCCCGTTGTGGAGATTGGAGAGGCAGCCCGAGCCCAGGATGGTGCGCACCGATGAGGGCCACTGCACGGACACGAGCCGGTGTTCGCCCAGCAAGATATGCCGCACGTTCTCGGCTCCCATCACTCGCACAGTGGGCCGCCCGAATAGGTGAGTCTTGTAGATGAAGCCGTATTTCCTGCGCTTCATCTGCAGAAATTTACGCCTCTGTCCGGGAGAAGGGAGGGAATAACAAAATAAATGTTAAACGAAGAAAAGAAAGGAGCATGAAAAGCACCTCTCCCACCTGGGCACGGGAGCCCGGCAAAGCTGCTGGTCTTCCCCCTCCCTTGCAGTCAGAGGAGGAACCGAGGACGACTTCGTTCCCCGCGGCATCCCCTAGGCTTACCTGAAGCACCATCTGTAGCGTCTCCCCGAAGAAGGGGAGCCCCATGGTGCCCGGGGGCAGCGGCAGCGGGCAGCTGGGGTCGCGGCCGCTCACGCAGTACAGGTCCCAGAGCTTGACAGCGGCCAGAAAGAGCAGCAGGGGCAGCAGGAAGGTGCACAGGACGCTGGCAACCAGGGCGGAGAAGCCCATGGCTAGGGAGCGAGTCCAGTCTGGCCCCCCGGGAGCTCGGAGTGCGCGGGCCGGGCTCGCCGCTGGCCGCCTTTTATACCCTTCCCAGGTTGCTGCCCACCCTACCTTGGTCGATATATTAGTTCACCCAAAGTTCATCTTTAATTGCGGATTGTGGCCTGGCTCCTCCCCCCGAAATCTTTAACTATTTGCTTTGCGCGGCGCATCCCGCCCGCCGCAGACAGCCGCCGGGGGAGTAAAGGTGCTGCCGGGCGCGGCGGCAGCCGCCGCTGCGCACTCGTTCCCGCAGCACCGCTCTCAGCGAGCTGGCAGCGGATGCCGCCGACAGCTGGGGACCGGCCACCTCCTCGGATTTATTGCAGATGCTCGCTAGGGACGAGCAGGTTGCACCGAGCAATGTCCTGCTCCAGCACCCGGGGACCTTGCTGTCCGGGGATACCTACCTCCGGGGACGCTCCGCTGCGCTCCGCAAGCTACGGAGTTCCTTCGCCCACCCTCTCTTGTCGCCGGCTGGGAACGGCGAGTCAGCGGCCCGAGCAGCGGTCCAGAGCTGGGGGCCGGACGGAGCGCGCAGTCCCCCATGCTGGGAGAGCCCGGCGGGCCACCGGACGGAGCCGCAGATGTGCCGCCATATCGGTGGAGGAAGCTCCGCTGTCCTCTCGTTCACCTCGAAAAGCCCGGCTTGTATTTCTGTCTGCCGCGGAGGAAGGAGCCGCGGGCTGCAGTCCGTGTCAGCCTCCCGAGGCAGGTTCAAGCGCGGGTCACTGAGGGAAAGGGAGGTGAGTGAGGAAAGGAAACACCAAGCCCTCCGTGCCCGGCTCTTCTCCCCGGGACCTGCTGCCCGCCCTTTTCTGGGTCTCGCCGGCGTTCCGGGACCGTCGGGGCTGCAGCGTCCGGGAAGAGGCGCTCAGCACCGGACAGGCAGGGTGCCGGCTGCCTCATCGCGGAGAGACTCCCTCCTGGAGCCGGCGCGCAGGCACTGGTGGCTGCTCTCCGGAGAGGAGTAGCGTCTGCTGGCAGGCTGCTTTCGATGGGGCTGCCGCTGCGTCCGTGCGCAAGAGGCGCCGTCCGGGAGACGCGGTCGCTAGGAAAGGAGCGCCTGGCGCTGACCACAGCTGCAGGGCCCCGGAGGGGAAGGACGGGGCCGCGGGGCGTTCTGCCGGGCACTGTTGTTACCAGTAAACTGTCGTGCTCGGTTTGTTGTTGGGGACATTTTGTTTGGTTTGTTTTTTTCCTCAATTTCCATTTTTCTTCTTTTGCCTCCCTGTTACTTTTGTTTTCTTGCTCCCAGACAAGCTAAATAAAAGCTGCAAGCTGTGTGCGCGTTTGTGCAGGGGAGGGGGAGATGTCACTTTTAATTATTATTTTCCTGACAATCAACGCATCACTCGGGACCCTACCTCCTCTTTCGATGCCTTGCACAAGAGGGTCTGCGCGCCTCCGTCCCCCCTTGCCCAAGACTGGGGTACATCCTCGCTCCTGGCGGCGCGCAGCCCCTCGGGGTCCCGTGCGGCTCCGGGAGGCCCGGCTGGCGCTGGTCGGGAGCGACGGCCGGGCCCTGACCCGGCGCTCTCCCCTTGCCGGGGGCTGACCTGCTTGTGACCTACAACACGGACCGTGACATCTGCGTGAACCCGGTCGGCAACCGCGCCAAGTTCACTGTCTATCAAAATAACGAGATACGGTGGCCTGAGCACCGATAATTGCCACAGGAAGGCTTTATTATCTCCCCAGCTGTGTATTCCCCAGCCATCGGCTCGAAAAGAATCAAATGGTAAAGAGTGAAAGGGATAATTAAAAACATCTTGGAAGGGGGTCAAGAAATTAACAGCCTAATATGAACAAACTTGGATTACAAGTAACAATCATTACACGTCGTTTGTAAATGCTCTTGTTTATCTGCAAACAAAATCAGTTTCAAGTCCTTTTTTTTTTTTTTTTTTTAACTAGATCCGTGTTACGTTTTCCAGCGGGCGGCTGCGGGGCTCGTTAGCGCTCGGGGTAATTGTTAAGCCCTCCCTTGGCCGGTGCTGGGCGCTGCAGGCCCTGCTCTGCCCCGCAGCCCTGCCCGCGGTGGGAGCCTGCGTCGCCCGCGGGTCACAGCCACGCCAGCAGCTCCTGCTAATTAAAGTTAGTCATTGCCACTTGCAGCCACCATCTACTGATTTCACCTCTGATAGCCAGAAAGATTCACCTTTCAGGACAAGGTCAGGAGGGGCAGAGGCTTTGGTTCACTACGGGGTCGACCTGCCAACAGCACTTAACTCAGCCCTGCAGTTCAACCTCTTCCAGATTTGACCTGTCACATTTGGGAGCCACATTTCTGCCTCAGGTAGCGTTGTGCTGGCTGCGCAGCCCTCTGACGGCTAACGGCAGCACATGCCCCGCTGCAGAGCTCCAGCATGGAGGTGCAAGGGGGACTGGCCAGGGCAAGATCATTTGTAGCCTGATATTGAAGCAGGACAATAACAGGGCAGCTCTCCAGAGCATTTCCAGAGGGATCCTGTCAACATGCCAGTTTTCTGCCCTAACAGGTTGAGCTGCGGCTGGTTTTTCACACAACGCACACTGTGCCACCGAGCCCAAAACACACAGTAAGGACAAGGTGGATGTTTTCCTCCGCTGCTCCCATGCAGGATGTGTGACAGTAGGGAGCAGAGGTGAAGCTGAAAGGAGCTTATTAACACATTGCAGTGTAGCAAGGACCTGAGCCCAGCTCTGTTCTCAGTGCAAGCAACAGGACTCACTTCATTTTACATGGGAGAGAAATACCTCCTGTCTCAGCAAAGCAGGTGGTACTCAAAAGCCACTTAAAAAGGTTCCTTCAGCATCCAGGCTTAGCCCCAGGTACTACCCCTGGATGGACCCACAGAGCTGCTGTCTTGGCACTTTCCCCGGCAGGGGCAGGCTGCAGGAGGTGACACGGTCAGTCTGGCCAGCAAGGCAGCATGGGGCCTATGTCACTTTCCAGATGCCCCCTCTGCAGTGTGAACACCACCATCAGGAACAGAGGACTTTCTGCCACAAATCAGACACATTCAGAAACATCCCTTTTCCAAGTGTTTATTCCCCAAAGTCCCATCCCCTGCTTCAGGCCAATCCCACAGTCAGGCTGCAGCTGGGGATCCCATCCTGCAGGGAGCCCAGAAGGGGGCTTCATAGCAGAGCCCTAGCAGCAGCACGGCGCTGATGCACAACATACATGGCTACCACTACTGGGTGAATGAGACATGTACTCTTTGTGCCAGCTCTAGTGGGGAGTGCAGGAATGAGATTATATATTTACAGTAAAATACACTTTTCACCCTATTATTCTAGCTAGAGCTGGTGCTGAGGATTGGGCAGCCCTGGCTTGAGTTTTTCCGCAAAGCCTCCTCATCTTCCCTCCATTTACACCCAAAAAGCTACACTGTGCAGGATGTTGGTCCTGCCTCTACTATAACATACCCAGGAGATAACCACATGATAGAAAAGCTCTGTGAGCCTTGGCTGTAGGGCTGGGAATTTTGCACCCTCACCCCAATGCCTGGAGACGTGCATGAGGAAAGGGTTGGCTGAGCACCTATGACAGATGCTCCCTGCCAGCACCTTCATTGGGTCTTGCCCCTGGGATGGGGCTGAGTCCCCACCTGATACTCAGAGGCAGGACTCTGCAGGGCCTTCCCTACTGGCTTGCACACCAGGATGCGAAAAATCAGACCTTTGGGGTTTTGCTCTGCAGTGACCCCGTGCCACGGGGACAGCAGAGACTGCCCCTGGCAGCCATGGAGGGACATCAACACCAGGGCTGAGAGGGGCGGCATACCCCTGGCTCACCCCTCTCTGCCCTGGCCAGGCTGCAAGAGGTGGAAGTAGAGCTGCAGCCCATCATCAACAGGGTGCACAATGGGCACAGTCTGCATGGCAGGGTAGCTGGGGGTGGCCAGCTCCCAGCGGGCTGTGCTGACCAGCTCAATGGCCAGCAGCTTAAGAATGGCCTGTGCCAGCTCCTTGCCGATGCAGCTACGCACCCCGCCCCCAAAGGGGATGTAGTGGAAGCGGCCCGCAGCCTCTGTCTGGGTGGCACTGAAGCGGTCTGGGTCAAAGCCACCAGGGGGGCTCAGGTAGACGGCAGCTGTCTCGTGCGTGTCACGGATGCTGTACATGACGCTCCAGCCTTTCGGGATCTGGTAGCCCTGTTGAAATAAATAGGGTAGGAGAGGAGCATTACATACTTGTGCAGCCAGCTGTGCTAGTGAAGAGTGAGCACAGGGTGCTGGGGAACAGCCCCACCACATTACCCATCTGACCCACAGCTCCTTTTCTCCCCAGCCCAGCTGGGACTCCCAGAGGTTGCCGAGTGCCACCTTCTGCTGTGTTACACTGCCAAGCACCACCACTGTGCCGGATACAGGGAGCTTGCAGGCAGTGGCAGGCAGCAGCTCCCCAGCAGCCTGCTGGCGTGCGAGGCACTTACATCTAGCTCGAAAGTCTGCAGTGCCGTTCGGTAGCCTCCGGAGACTGGGGGCAGCACCCGCAGCACCTCCTTGATCACACAGTCCAGGTAGCGCAGGCGGCTCAGCTTCTCCAGGCTGATATCTGAGGGGCAGTGACAGCTCTGCCTTGATGATGACTGGAGCTGCGGACCAGTGCAGGGACTGCTCTGGGGGAAGGCAGGCTCTGGAAGGGCATTGGGCTGATGGGAACCTGCCTCTGCTGAGCCCAGTGGCTGGCTCTGGTCCTCATGAGCATCTCTGGCCATGGGGCAGGTAAGTGGCCTCTTGCTGTCTCTGCTCTGGGTGGTCAGGGTGTCCAGGCAGTGTTCCACAGGGCAGCTCTCACACTGCTGGTACATCTCATTGGACAGCAGCTCCTGCCTTATTTTTTCAATCACTGAGGGATGCTTCAGTAGCAGGAGGATCAGAGAGGTGCTGGCACTAGCCGTAGTGAAAAAAGCAGCAAATATGAGCTCAATTGCTGACTCCTGGAGAGGAAAGAATGTTTTGACAAGTTTGAACGCCATTTTAAACTGGTTGTGATCCAGACTCTTCTCACCTTTTGCAGGTTTTGTCCCTGTGCAGGGGGCTTCAGCCTCCCCTTGGCTCTCCACAAACCTGCACCCACCCTGGGTTGGCAGAGACCAAAACAAGACACCTTTCTTCCATTTCTGCACAAACTGGACATATATTTGCCAAGTGAGTGAAGCAGAAACACGGCTGAGATGAGTACACATCACCTTAATTCAGCTCTTCTGAGTTTTCCTCCCAGATCGGTAAGGTCAGGGGTAATGTAACAAGGATTGCCCTTTTCTATGGTCCCCAGCACTATATACTGGCTGGACTACAGGCTTTTGCCGAGGTGCAACTCTCAAGGGCATCTTTCAGCTAAAATAAAACCTCTGAAATAACAGATCCCCGTAGACTCCTATCACACCTCCTGCAGGCGTTAGCAGGAATTTTTACATTCACAAGGTAGCAGACCCAGATGAAAAGAAATCTCTCAGTTCTACCACTTGCAATTAAAACCCAAGACATTTCAGTAACATGAAATAAATTTAGGGCAGGCTCTGTGATTTGAAATAACAGCCTGTATGCCTCCCTGCATCAGCCTCCGACAGTGTGGCTACATAAGCTGTGACATGATGAGAGATCATGTGATTATTCATGTGTAATATCCATGTGAATACTAACAGAAATTAATCAATCTTAATCACATTTTGAATCTGGCAATTATTTTTTAAAAATAATTATAACAAAACCATTCTATAAGAATAAATAATATACTAAATAATTAGAATTACTTCAAGAATATACACTGGTTCTAATTGTAGCTAAGAACCACTGTAAAGTATTTCAAATATTTTCAAATTAGAGGTTACACTTTTACAAAACATTTATAAAATATTAGTCTTTAGAGAGTTTTCCTTAGATACCTAAATAAATGGTAAAACTACTTTTAAACTATATTCAGCTGCTGTACCCATGCAAAATTGTTTCAGACCTTGTTATATAAATGCAGTGTGTCACCCACTGACACCAAGTGACATGGAGCTGTGAATGATACAGTACAATTTTCTCCGAGTGTCTTTGGCAAAATACTATTCATATTCAGTTGGTAGTTTTGGCTCAGTAAGGACTACTTGGTTCATCCCTAAACCACAGTGATATGTCATGTTGCATCATAGCAATCCACAAGCTAGATGATCTAATTAATGACAAAGTAATAAGGTATGTCCCGGAATCCATCATTCCATCCCTGGACCCATTTTGGTACATCACCTCAGAAATTTCTGGGCTTGCAGCCCCAAAGAATACAGTGACATGAACTACATGCTGCACTGTGCCAGATGCTGGGAGATGTCCGAAGAGCACACAACTAGCTCTAAAGATTTCCAGCACAGTATTTTGGTGGTTACCAAGTACACACTGACATACAGAGCCTTGGAGCTGCCACATGCCACATAACCCTACCAGCATCCTAAGGCAGGCTGAAGCCTGGTGGCCATGAGGAGGAAAGGTAGAAGAGGCATTAATTCTTTTTTAAAATACCATCTGTCTTCTAATGCAGAGGCACAACCCCACCAGAACATACGGGCCTGCAAGTCCAGGCTTTCTAGGTTGCACTGGAGATGGTGTCCTCAGAGATGGTAAGAGAATGGCAGGAGCCAGCAGCTGATGTTGGATTCCCAACAATCCCACTCCTGCCCCTCAGCCCAGGTCTCTCAAACAGCCACCAAGTCAGAAGGGACACTGCAAAGTGGGGATCTCCTCACCTTTAGCTCCTGTATGGTGAATTCTTTGCCATGCTCCTTGGCACTGTTTATTATGAAATCCAGGGCATCACTGTGATCTTCTGGGTTGTTTCTCTGCAGTTTTTCCTGTATAGCCTTCTCCATAAACTCATGTAGCATATTCCGTGCTTTAATTCCCTGTGGGAAGCACACATAGTTCAGTAGAGCCTTAGGAACCAGTCCCCTCTACCAAGAGACAGGAGGACCCCAAGAATGGCAATCTTTAATCCCCGGATCTGTAACAGCAAGAACTGTTTAATCAGCCCCAGTGCCTTGCAAGAGGCAGCAGTTTAGGGAGAATTGCTGTAGATTCTGTTGCCTTGCTGTTGTGAATCAAATACAAGTCCCAGGAAAACTCTGAGAAGAAAAGGCAGCAGTAAACCCATGGTACTGAGTCCAGAGGCATCTGTGCTGAACAAACCTACGGTTGTATAAGGCCCAAAAGAAGTTCATCAAAAGGGACAAGAAGAGGCAACTTAATAAAACAGTCCAAGTAGAAAGGCACATCTGAGACGGGAGCAAATGAGCTGCTTTACCAAGGTATAGTAGATAAAGACACACCAGTCACACCCAGCTCATCTCTGGTTGCATTGCACTCTCAGCAAATCAAGAGGTGGGCAATCTCTTTGCACAGTGGGATGGATGGAGTCAGAGTGTCTGGCTCTGTATCAAGATGCCTTCTGAAAAAGACAGAAGGACCAAAGATTTGGAATGAAAAATGGCCAGACCAGATGCTGAGAATAAGATACAAAGGCTGAGAATTGAGGTTGGAAGGACTGGACAAAGGAAACAGGGAGGGGAGCAAGGGGAAAGACAAGGGGACCTAAATGCAAGTTCAAGCAGTTGGTCTAGGGCCAGGCAAGCTGTGGCTGCCCTGAGAGAGGACAGGGAGGGATGGGGGATGAAAGCTCACACTGATGACAACGTGCAAAGGGAAACTGGACAGAGGAAACGAGCTTTGAACTGGTGGAGAAGAGCAGCAAGGAGGCTGGGGAGAACTGGGACTGGCTCAGTAAGGTGAGCTGATGTGGCAGAGCTCACAGTGGAAAATGGGACATTGAGCAAGATCTGGCTAAAAGGGACAGGAGTCTTAAGCTGCGGCAAGGGTGGAGAACCCAAAGCCAGAGGAAGGAATGTAGACCGAAATGGGAGGGGGGTTGGGACACAGGACTGATACCTAGAGCAGGATTGTGGGGAGGCAGGCAAGGAGGAGCAGGGCAGAAGAGGAGAAACTGCAGGTTGAAAGAGGCACAGGAGACTGTTCCTCTGCCATGATTCCCTCCAGGACCCTATCGCTGTCTCTTTGTTGCTAGGGGACAAGGAACCAAGGACCATAAGAGGGCCGCAAGTCCTCAGCCTGCTCTACGTGGACAGGGAGCACTAAACTGAGGTGCACTGTGCCCACCTGCCTTTGTGCCCATGCTCCCAGAATCCTTTGCCATGGGCTGACATGAGTCCAGGCAGGATGAGATGGGACAGGATCAGACATAACAAACTAACCAGAGCCAACAGAGGCAACACATGGGGTGAGCGAGAAGAGGAGCCCTGTGCTCTACAATGCGCTGGAGCCAGTGCCCAGAGGTGCTGAAAGCCAACCAGGAGCAAGTGAGAAGCACAAAGAGAAGGGGAGAGAGCTGGGATGGGCAAGACACCAGGCTCTCAGACCCAGAACATGCTGCAGATGTCCTGATCCATCAGAAGTGCCCCTTGCTGGGCCTGGGGACAGAGGGTCTGTGCCGCCGGGTTTCAGGCCTCTGCCCCCCGGCAGAGGGATGAGGGCAGGCGGCAGTACCTTGCGCAGCCCACTGAAGGGTATGTTGAGGGGCAGGGAGAAGAGGTTCTCCACCAGCTGTTCAAAAGTTTTGGCCAGCTCCTTGAACTGCTTTTCCTCCAGGCGGAGCCCCAGCAGAATCCGAGCTGCAATGCGGAAAGTTAAGGTTTTAGCGGAGGAATAAACTGCGATGGAGCCCGGCTCCATGCACCAGCCCCGCAGCTCCCAGCTCACAACCTTCTGGATCCGTGGCAGATAGCATTCCAGGGCAGCGTGGCTGAACACTCTGGCCAGGATCTAGGAGGAGAAGGGATGGAACAGAGGCAAGTGGTTAAAGTGAGGGGTCCCATGTGCCACCGAGGTTCAGGCCTGGGCAGGAGGTGCTGCCTGGGCTGTGTGTGCTGTCGGGGCAGCTGTGAGGCTCACCTTGCGGCGCTGGCGGTGCAGGTCACCAATGGAGCCGAGCAGGGTGTGGGAGCCCAGGATGATCTGGGTGCTCTGAGGCCACTGTGTGCTGACCAGCGTGTGCTCACCCAACAGGATCTTGCGGATGTTCTCAGCACCAGTCACCCGCACCACCGGCCGGCCCAGGAGGTGGGTCTTGAAGACGTTCCCGTACTTCTCCCTCCGGGAGCTGTGGAAGTGGGAGCCCTGGGGGCAAGCTGCGGTCAGCCCAGGGCTCCCGCCAGCCCCTTCCCATCCAGCCCCGTCCCGCTGCGCCTTACCTGGAGCAGCCAGTGCAGGGTCTCTCCGAAGAAGGGCCAGCCCATGGAGCCCCTGGGCAGAGGCAGGGCGCTGCCGCGGTCCCGGCTGAGGCTCCAGCGCAGCGCCCACAGGTACCGGCACAGAATGACCATTAGCGCCAGGGCCAGCAGCGCCAGCGCCGCCGCCTCGGGCCAGGAGAGCCCCACCGGCATCCTCCTCGAGGGCGGCAGCAGACGGGGCGGGCGCGGGGCGGCGGCGGGTCCCCGCCCCGAGGGCACGGGCGGCCCGGGTGAGCGGCCCCGGCGGCTGTCAAACTCCGGTGACGGCGACGTGAGCTCCGCGGCTGCCCCTGCTGGATGCTGCCCTCCCGGTCCCGCTTGCCTCCTGCTGCCGGTTCGCCCCTCGGCCACATTTATATAGATATTGGCCACTTACGCCCGATCCACCTTCGGAGATGACGTATTCACTGCATATTTAAGCAGCGCGGCCAAGTGCGATGATTGGAGCGGGAGAACCGGGGAGAGAGACTGAGGGGCACAGGGAGAGCGGGGCCGATCGAGGCAGCCCCCCTTCTCCTTGGGGCGGGGGGCCTGGTGCCCCCCCGACGCCACGGAGCTAGCGGCCACTGCTCTCCCCGGCCCAGCCAGCGCCAGCCTCACGGCAGGACGGAGCGCCCTCGGTGCAGGGTTTCCCCTCCGCCCCGCGTCCCCTGGGGAGCCCACTCGGGCCGGCCCCTCCCGCCGCCCGGCGGAGGCACCGAGCCCCGTTCCGGGCTCCCGCGACCGGGGAGCGTCCCAGCCCCGCTCCACGGGCGCCGTCGCCGCCCCTCCCCGGCAGCCCGTTCTCCCCCGGCCGGGAATCCTGCAGCCCGTTCTCCCCCGGCCCACACCCCCCTGTCAGGGCTGCCTCGCCCTCCTGCCCCGGGGGTACATCACCAAAGAGTCGGGACCTGTACAGGTTCCAACGAAATCGGCTCTGAGGTGCGTTCCAGAAATTAAACAGGAGTACGGGTGAGGTTTATATTACTGTATTTAGACCGTCAATAACTTAAAAATACAGCGAAAATGTACATTATTTTTACATGTTCCATTTGGTTTGTATTTGTCAGACATTCTCTTGTTGTCTAAAATAGCCAGGAGGGGACAGTGCAAAGAGACCGGCAGTGGGACGAAATGCTGATCACTGGGATGGGTCTGGCGGTAGAAAGCATGTACTGATAAACAGATGCAGCACGAAACCAGCAGTGGCAAACCTATTCCTTACTGCAACCTTGGGAAATAACCCTGGATCTTACAAAAGTACAGTTAGAAATAGTAACCCTGAGGAACAAACCCAAACCAAAATGTCACATAATAAAGAACTCAAATGGTTATTTACATTCACAACCTTAAGATTAAACCCTTTTGGAGAACAAAGCCTATAAACCCTAATGCTAAATAAATATTAAGTTTAGTTCTCAGGTAGTTTTCAAAGGTACTAAAAATCAGATGATTTTTTCATACCTCCAGACTACAAAACCTGGTATACAAAATTATGTTCAATCACTTTAAGGCTAATATACATTTAATGCAGGGAAACCATAGGCAGCATCTGAAATGCAAGTATCTCAGTCCTTGAAAAACATTAAATTAGGATTCATCCAGAAAACAGCAACTAAGAGATCGTTTCTCAAATAATTTCTACTCAAAGCAAAATTTTGGACACCATGGCTGTGGATATTTAAATAATGTATTTACAGTTCAGCTGTTCCATGTACAATACAATTGAGCTGGGGTTTATTGTACAGTCTCATTTTTCACCATTTGTTTACAATATACAAAATAGTATTCAATCCATTAAAAATACGTACAAAGATTGTTTGCTGAAGACTCCATGTACAAGCCATTGACTGCATTTTTCTTTTGCTTGGTCAAACTAAGGTATATCAACTGATATAGTTAATTGTTTGGTAGAAACAGTGGCTAAGAAATATGTCTTGGCATGATGAGAAACAGTCGATGTAATAGGCCTATGTGTGCTGGGACATACCGTTCACTAAACTCCTAAGTTGCTTTACTACAGTCTCTATTAGCTTCTGCTTGTCACGGTCGTTCTTCCTGAACTGAGCAAAAATATTGTTCTTTTTGCTGGAGTCTTTCATTCTGCAGAAATAAAAAAGCAAACGACACAGAGACGTTGGAAACATAATTTGAAAAGGAAAAATCCAGCTACTTAAATAGATTTATTTTTGTTCCTCTTTTGATCTTTCTGCTAATACGAACAAAAAGATTACAAAACCTGTTATCTGTGTGTTCTTAAATTAAACTTCCGCAATGCGGAACTCGTATTAACAAATATTACTTCACAAATATTAAGCAAATACAACTTCGGCAGGAAACCGACCCTACCAACTGCGTTCAGAGAAAAGCAAACCCTTGAGTCTCATCTGATTCCACGGTAAGTTCAGACTCAGCAAACGGCATGTTTTGTTCGCCAACAAATTACCCGATTATCGGTGTTGCTGATCTCCCGCACCAATGAATTTTAAAACGAAATTCGGGAAACAGAATAAACTGAAGCAACAATATTTGTGTAACAGGATAGGCGATACGTACCCTCTGTGAACTCTGAAAAACACATTCACCGCAGGCAGGAGAGAAGAGAAAACACCGTTAGAAAATGCCTTTAAACCACTCCATATCTGGATGCAGGTTTTAAAGGCAGGTTGACACTCGGCCGGCTGCAACGCACCTCCCACACCCTGCCCCCCGACCCGAGCCAGCCGAAAAAGCTCGCACCGGCTTTTTACCACCGCGAACCTCCCGCACTTCCGTTCCCCGAAGCGGCAACTCGGGCAGCCGCGACCTGCTACCGGAGCCCCGGCACCGGACAGCGACGCGCTGCCGCCGGGCTCTGGCCGCAGCTCCCTGAAGGCGGGCAGGCTGCCCCGGCCCCGCGCCCGCCGCGCCGACACTCGTACCCAGGCCAGGCACTTACTTCTCCAAGAGCGTGAGGGCCGTGCTGGGGTTGACCCGCAGGTATTTGGAGGTGGCCTGCCCGTAGTCAGCCAGGTAGGTGGACCAGTCCCACACCATGAAGAGGTCCAGGAGCTGCGTGGGGAGAAGCGGGTGAGGGACCGCCAAGTGGCTCTGCGGGAAGGAGGCTCCCGCCTAGTCCGGGCCCGGTCGACAGCCCCTTCACCTGCCCGTTTTCTTCTTTAACGCCCTCCCGCCTCCCTCCGTGCGCTGGGAGGCGGTTGTGCAGGTCCGGCCCTAGGCAGGGATGCTAATGGCTTCAGGCTTGAGTGTTTTAGAAGCTTGCTTTACCGTGGGGAGCAAGAAGGGGATACTCGTGCCTATTGCTGCTCACAGTAATTTAAACCAGAGGTGCAGGTAGTCTCAGCTAAGTGAATTAAACAGCTCCTGCTGCACTCTCCATGGTGACTGATCCCCATGACTCAGACCAAGATCCTGGCACACCTGGCACAAACCAACCCCAAATGCTTAAATGGGGAAACAAAAAGCCTCCAATCACAGTGCTGCAGTTTTGAATCAGGCCTTTAACTCACCCTCTCAGAGCTGCTGTTCTATTGAACAGTCTGCTTGTATAAGTGGATGTGATACCTAACCTCCAGCAGCCAGCACCCTCACAGCCCTCAATGTCTAATTCCCCCTTGCCATCACAGGGTGCAGGCCAGGCACCACTGGGCACCGTGCTCAGGTTGCCTGGGGCACATACAGGCAGCTCTGCTTGGTGGGAGCCCAGGCTGGCAGGGCCAACTCCTATTAACGTTAATGGCGGGTGTCCCAGCTTCCCTCCCATCTGATGCCTGGCCTTGTCCTGCTGCTGAGGGCTAAAGTGGGCTTGTTCTCAGGCTGCGCTGTGTTAGCCAGACATACTGTTAAGGTAAGCATGTGGAACCATTAGCAACACTTTGCCATGGCTCACAGCGTCCCTGGCTGCTCTGCTGAGCTGGGTCCTCAGCGTAATCCAAAGCCCCTGCTTGCCCAGAGGCTACATCAGTAATGCTACATCGCTTGGAAAAGTGGGCTGGAACAGGATTTTCCATAACAAAACTACTTTAAGGAAGATAACAGACTGATGCAAGTTGTACCATTTTTCTGTTTAAATAAGGAATCCTGTCCACTTCAAACATTTGCTTCTGCTAAGCCAGCGCACAGCTGTTACAGCCAGGACACAACAGGAGCAGCCCCTGCTCTGGTAAGCATAGCTGCAGCAGGCACCCACTCCTCTGACTTCTCAGGCTACGCTAAGAAAAGGACTGAATCTCTGAGAGCCTCGCCTTACTCAGGCTCCTCAGTCTGGGAAAAGGTCACAGCTCTCCAGTAATGCTCACCCCCAAAATTGTAACACCAACTTAATTACAAAATACAAGTATATATCTGATCTTCACAGCTTCAAATTTATATGCCTCTCCTTCAATTTTTCCATTTCCTAACCCTTTTCTTATTTTCAAATAAAGTGTCTAATTTAAATAAATTATTTTCTAATTAATTACACCTTCCATATTTGTAGTATAGCCTTTTATTAACACACAGTAACATTTCCTGGCTTTATAACAGACCTAACAGACCTCTGAGAGTTACTGCTGGCATTCCAAAGTCCCCAGGGACCATTACAAACCTCAGTGACATCTAGATTTTATATTTAACTATCTCGTATGGGCAGAAGGTTTATAAAAAGCAACAAGGCTATTGCACTTTCTACTGACTACATATTCATGATAGCCATCAAGGTCAAATGCAAATGATTCCTTCTCACAAAGCATTTTCTCAGGATGGGCACCATCAATTCTCCTGCTAGGCTAAAGACTACATGCATTTAGTCACTAAGCAAACAGACTTGAGAAGGCTCTGATAACTCAGGAATTAGTGGCATCTGTGAAACCCACAGCCTTAGTTGCTGCTGTATGTTACCATCACTTCTTATTACCTGTGTTACAACAGTGGGTAGTGCCCAGTCCTCATAGAGGCTGTATGATACATTCAAAAGCGTGATCAAAAGAGTGGGAAGATAGGCCAGGCAGATGCACAACACAAAGTGAATCCAGACTATATAATCTAGAGATTTCATGCTCCCTCTGTCTTACAGAGAAGCAAATAGAATGTATTCATAAATTACTACTAATTACAACATCACTTGTCATGGGCTCCATGTGGAAGACGGCACTTAAGCAAGGACCATGCCAATACTCCTGCAGCAGCTGTCCTCAGCGAAACAAAGGCAAAAGATTTTATTTCTTATCCCTATTGTAACACTGAAATTGAGGATTCTGGGTAAATCCTAAGCAACCCCAAAGCTCTGTACCCTGTTAACAACATGCAGCCCCAAGCCGTTGATGTCTGATACAATTACAGCGCTGACAAGTTTAAAGGAACTTTCTTGCCAATATCATATGAGGAATTTTCAAACCATACTTCCAATGCTTGAATCAACCATCTGATTGTGTCATGGCTCTGGGACATCTCAATGACAGTGGTGGCTGGGGTGGAAGATTACATCTCATTTGTCACCTGACCAAGCACAGGTA